ATCATGTGATATGACGTCATTTCGACTATTTCGCGACTTTAGCCTCCAATGGTCGAAATGATTTCGACCATTTCGACTATTTCAGATATCCGAAATGATCCATTTCGACTTCATGTATAGTGATGATTATTGGTTGATAGTCATATGATATGAACAAAGAAACACACGTGATTGGGAATTTTTTTCATAGTGCATAGAAATATATTATCCTTTGCTTCGCTCTGGACAATAATACAAAAATAATGAAATGTTGACATTTCACAAAGTTTTTTTATCTTTTTAAACAATACGAAGGGATGTAATTACATGAGAATATCTAGTCTTTATATAATAAAAATAATAATACAAAAAAAAGCAAAAGAACGAAGGGATGACTTTGTATTAGATATTGATCAGTTTTTTATAATAATTTTATTGTATTATTAAAGTTTTCTAATAAAAATAAAAGATATAAATATATGTAATTTATTCTTACGAATCTTTTATTTTTCATAATATAGCATCAATAAAATCACAAATATAAATTTTTCCATTTAAAATCCTCGTCTCCTACATCTTTTATTTTTCGATTTTTTCTTGTCATTTTATCTGTTATTTTATTGCTTTTAATTCATTTTCTTTTTTAATCACCTTTAAATTCATTTTTTTTTTATCTTTCGATTTTTTTACTTTCGTTTTTCATTTTTTTTGATATTTTTATTTCACCTCTTTCATTTTTTTTTTATTTTATTGTTCGATTTTTTTACCTATTTTATTCAATTGCTTTTTATTTCATTTTTTCATTTTTTTTCAATTTTTTTATTTCACTTCTTTCGTTTTTTTCATTTTTTATCGTTCAATTTTTTTTATCTATTTTATTCAATCATTTTTTATTTCATTTTTTTATTCTTTTTTATTTTTTAATTTACCTCTTTTATTATTTTTTTTTTTATTGTTCGATTTTTTTTATCTATTTTATTCAATCGCTTTTTATTTTATTTTTTTATTTTTTTTATTTTTTTTATTTTTTTCCACCTCTTTTACTTTTTCATTTTCATATCTTTGGTATAATTTGCTGCTCCTGTTGCTCCCTTCGAATGAACAAATAATGCTATATTAGAATTAATTCATTTATGTCGCGACTATTATGATGATTTTAAATTCGTCTCAAATAATCATCATGAAAGGATATAGAGAACCATATCCAATCAATTGTTTATTAATAGAGGGTTCACTGCTTCTTCCTCTCAATGTCGAAGAAAATGATACTCATTAAAATATGGATACAAAAATCTCAAAAGGTTGGAAGCTGGAGAGAATTCTCATAACTAACAAATAATAAATCCAACTCTGTATGATCAGATATTTCATGCAGAGTTGGATAACGAATTTTAGTTTTGAACTGGTAATTATTTATTGAATAATAGTAATAAGAAATATATTTTTACTTTTTAAAACTTCAATTTTTTAATTTATTTATTATTTTTTTATTATTTTTAGACGTAAATCATTATCGATATAGATGACAAAATATAGATCGCTGCTGATATCAGTACTGACATAAATCTCATTCTCATAAGGATCGTAAATCTCATTCTCATGGTCATTCTCAGGATCATGGATCCTATTCTTGCCATCATTCACAGAATCGTAGATCACGTTCCCGCTGTCATTCAAGGAATCATAGATCCTGTTCCTGAAGATACAGAAGGATGTCATATTCTTCACAAAGAAGGAGAAGTTTTTCGCTGAGAAAGCATTAATTTTTAATTTTTATTTTTTTTAATAATTTTATTTTTATTTTTATTTTAATTTTAATTTTATTTTTTATTTTTTAATTTTAAATTTTAATTTAATTTTTTATTTTTTATTTTATTTTAATTTTTAATTTTTAATTATAATTTAATTTTTATTTTTATTTTTATTTTTTTTAATATTTTTTATTTTAATTTTTTATTATATTTTTTTTATATATATATTATTTTTTTTATTTTATAATAAATTTTTTTTAAAAAAAAAATTGTAATAGCGTTGCAATGCCCAAATAGTTATACAAATTAATATTATTTTACCTTTTTAATTTATCGCATAATCATAATTAAAAATTCTAATCTAATTAGTATTAATTATCTTGATTATGTATAATAATAACAATTTTATAGTATAAAACAGATTTGTCATTTTTTTCGATCATTTTTATTTTGGTATTTTTTTTGTTAAATTTGTAAACATTAACAATGAAATAAATGTTAAAAATACCAAGTAGCATAATACTTTATGAATAAGTATCTCAGACTAAGTATTATATTATCTGAATTCTATCAATTTCATAAATTACCAAATCCTAAATACGTTTTATGTTCTAATGATGAAAAGTCTTATTGGTTTGACTGTATGATCTCTAAAATATATTTGCAAACGTAATTACTTTATTATAATTATTTTTTATGATATAATACCGTATATTTTCATCATTTATTATATTTTTTAGATTGTCTTCAATAAGTTTATAGAAGTTTACATGAAGAGTGATATTGAAACGAAAACTATCATAGAAGACATCATTCATATATTATCATTCATGAAGCAAAAGTAATAGTAGATTATTTATGTAGCAAAGCCATAAGAGATATTGTTCACGTTCACATTTCATGTATTTAATTTTTTAAAAAATAAAAAATATCTTATAATTTTTTGTTATTTTTTTAATTAATATGTTGTTACTATTAACATATCACATTCAGAATTTTCTATTTCATTTATTTCATCTTCAAATTGATCTGGTAAATTCTTAATTCTATTTTTAATTTGTAAAAGATTACTTATCATTTTATCTACATAATTTTTTATTATTAAAGATTTTGTTAAAAATTCTTTTATAATATCACTATTTGAAACTCTTAATGGAATATTATATTTAATGATTTCAAAAGAACGATAAAAAGAATTTTTGTAACTATTAATTTCAAAAACTATTATATTATTCCTTATTACTTGAATTTCTATAAAAGGAATTACACAATGTTATTGTAGGGGTTTTGAGACGAAGTCCTATTACCTTTACTGCTATTATGTATTCTATTCACTTGTAAAATCTATATTGATTTTTCTACTATACTATAATAACTTCTACATCTTTCAGCTGGCTAAATTCTATATAAATAAAAAAAGTCTTACAAAAATTAATATATCAGGAACTGTTTCTGCACTGGCTAACTTATTAAATAGCATAATTTCATTTTAAATCATATAAAATAAATAATACGAAAAATTTTGTCACAATTTCCCCCTAAAATAAATCATAGGAAAATTTGTAAATAAATCATACGAAAAATTTTTGTTCTAATTTTTTCATAATAAGTCATACGAAATAAGTTATATGTAAAAATATATATCAGGAATTATATTTAATAACTCTCAGAGATCAGAAAATATAATAAAGATTTTTTGTCCTAATTTCTCCTATAATAAATCATATGAAAAAAATTTTGTCCTAATTTCTCCTTATAAGTCATACAAAAAATATATATCAGGAATTATGTTTAGTAGCTTTCAGAGGTTGAGAAATATAATAAAAATATATCATATAAAATTTTGTTTCAATTCCCCCAATAATCTATGATTGAAGGGAAGCTTTATCTCGCAATCTATTATAATATTGGATCACATAATATCCATTGATATGTAATAGACATCGTTTACAAGCAGAAGCAGTTAGCTTACCACAATCAGAGTAAGGTACTCATTTTTTAGCTTTCCAATAAAATTGACATCCTTCAAGCTTAATACAAGCTCTTTCATAAGCCATTTCAAAGTTGTAGAAATAAGAGCACGAATATTCACCAATCATTTTGATAAGTATAGGAATTAATTAATTGAAGAAAATATTTATAAGCAATTAATAGTGCGACCGAATGAGCTAAAATTATGGTTAGAAAAATTAGAAGTGATAAAAAAGATACAACATGTGATTATTATAGTAGAATTTTAGCAAATGCTAATAAACTTCATGAGCATCTTAAAAGAAAGAATCCATGTAAAGCTAAAACTGATACTCCTATTCAATCTCCTATTCAGATGCCTATTTAAACATCTATTCAGGCTTTTGTTCTGAAGCTGCGAAAATGCTTTTTGCTATGGTTTTCTTAGTAAAAAAGCATTTCTGAAGCTGCATAGGCGTTTTTTACTATAGTTTTCTTGGTAAGAATCACCTTTGAAGCTTTAGAAATGACTTTACTATTGATTCGAATCAAATCAACTCTTGTTCAAGCACCTTCTATTCAAGAAAGTAACCAACAGCTCATTCAAGAGGTAATCCAAGAACCTGTTCAAATACCAATTCAAATTTATAAAAAAAGTGATCAAATCTCTGAATCTGAATCTCTGGCAGAAGTTAAAAATCTACCTTTAAGAAATCAACCAGTACACATAAAATTAATTATAAATAAGTATTTAAAAGAAAGCCTTAAAGAATAGGCAACTCGTCTTGCAGATAGAATTGATGAATTTACTGATGTAAAGCAATATCGAAGCTGGTTAAGATTAAGAAAAAGACTTTGAGAGGCAGTTGAAGTCAAATATAATAATCTTATTGTAAGTGATCCAGAAGTGTGGCAAGAAAGAAAACATATAGGAGGTCATCAAGTACAAAAGAGATGTGAAAATGATGGAATTGTAGGATATATTTGACTAGAGCCTGTTTTACCAAACTCAGTTTCAGAAGTTAATTCACAAACCAGTCTAGGATTTAGAACAAAGAATTTAGTCACTTAGGAGAAATTATTGATAGATAAGAAAGAGACCTAAAATTTAGAGAGCAAGAAGAATTAGGGATAGTACTTAAAAGAAGAACTATAGCTGTACATTAGTGATACCAGCATAGCAGTCATGCTTATATCACAATGTCGATCATTTGCCGATCATATATATGAATTATCACATAGATTTTAAGCTTTGGATAAAGCTATAGTTGTTCAAATAAATAGCAATAATTATTAAATTTAATAATTTAGATTATTTAAA